CAGGAAATCTTAATCTAAACACCTCATCTCAAGAGACTTACTGAGAGCTAATTTCAAAAACATACTAATTTCTGTTCTGTTCGCTTGTGAAGATGTCATAGTAACTGTTTAAATATTTTTATCAACCTGAGTCTGAAATCTTTGAGTCTCTCTGCATTTTCTTCTCCAGTAAGAAACTGTGGCTCCTTTCTGGCTATCTGATGGAAGGCAAACATCAATGACTCCACATACGAGAACTCTAGCTTTGGTTGCTCACTCTCTGGTGTGTTCTCTCCATCTTCAGTCAAAGGGGGAAGGGGCATATATTCCTAGAATAAAATAAAAATCCAACATATAATTTGAGATTTAAGTGGTAAACTAAATATCATAGTAAATTTCACAAAAATGTCATTTATAAATACAGATTTCTATACTGCTTGTTGTCTCCTTCCAATATCACCCTTCAGTATAAATAAATACTACAAAAGAAGTCCATTGCAATTAACAATAAGAATATCCTTTTTAACAATAACAATGTTATTAACTCACCAAAAGACAGTCATATAACTTTTCCAATCGCTCTGATAAATTTTCCATGTCTCCACAAGTGGTTGACATTTCAGCAAACACTTTGACAAGCTCCAGGCGGTAATCAGTGTCATCATCATCAGGGCTTGCTGTCTCAGATAACTTGGGGAGCACTTTATCACAGAAATAAGCAACAAATTTGGTGGAGTGAACATTTTTCTGCAAATAAACAAAAAACATATTTCAAACTTATATCCAACAAAATTTACTGAAAAGACTGAACTACTCAACTTGTTATTGGCAAGTGTTCTCTCTACTACAAATTGCCAATATTCCCAAATAATATAGTGAAACATGCATGTTTTTCTTATTGCACTATTCAACTTGATGAAGCACCTATCAGGACTTTTTTCATTTCAATTTTTCATTAATTTTGTTTCTTCTATGTAAATAAACTCTGATACCAATTGTTGGGTTTAAGTTACAATGTTTGGAATCTGAGCTTCCATGTGCACAAATGGACCAACACAGACTCAATTATATCAGTAGTCAATAAGATTCCTTAACATGGGACCTGATGATGCCAAGTGGTCAATTGCCCATCTAAGTTAGTCCAGTGGTAAACATGTTCTTGGTCAAATTGTTTTAGAACAGTGAATACTCACAGAAAAGAATGGCAACCCTTGCTTTGTACACTGCAACAGTTTGTCCACACAGTCTACATCTGTGCTCTAAAATACAAGAATAATGAATAAACATGAATTACAATCTTAAAATATTTGAGTTTGTCAAAAAGATCTTAATTCAAATTAATTTAACAATCAATTAACCAAGAAACAAATGTTTGTTTTTCACACTTACACTAAACTCTCCATCGGCTGACTCCATATCTGCCTGTTCCGTAATCAATTCCACTAGCTGCTGTCTCCCCAGCACTGTCTGGCAACATTTCAAGACGGACAACATTTGCATAAAAGCAAGAAACTCATCCCCAGTTACATCCACTAAAACCTACAAAATAATGATGTGAAAAGATGTAAAATCTGAAATCAACTCACCAACAACATAAAAATTAAATACTGAGATCTCTTTATAAGGAAAAAAGAAGCAAAAATTTACCTTTTTGCTTTCTTCTAAAACAAATTCTTCAACTTCTTTTGTCATGATTTCTTCGGGTATCTGCTTCACTTTATTCTGTAAAAACTTGATGGCTTTTTCCCGCAGCGTGTCTTCACCATTCAATATCTGGGAGAATATGCCTTGGAAAGTACCTGGTAAATAAAATAAGGCATAATTATAGGTCGAGTTAAGAATTTGTTTAGACATTTTCCTTATTAAGAATTTAACCAGGTTTGTGTAATATAAATCTTCTATAAAACTGCTCCAGTTAATATCCAAATCTTCATAATGCACAATGACATGAATGGAATCAAAGACACAATTAAAGACTGGGCATAAAAATCCAAACACTTCAAAAACACCCAGTAAAAAATACAAGATCAATTCAATTACCTTTTGCATCAAAGCTGAAGAGATTCAATAGTGAAGAAGTCACTAGACTGAGTTCATTGGAATCTTCACTCTGTAGCAGCTGTGTGAGGACATCAGATATCCTGGGGACATGCTCTGGGTTACTCTTACACAGGGTAACCAGGTCCTTGATGGCTTGTTTTCTAATCTGAAATACAGAAAAAAACTAACAGTTGCAGTTTGGTAACAGTCACTTTACAGATGGTATTGTACTGAAGACGTAAGTAAAATTTACAAAATAAAAAGCATTGTTGTAATTAATCAGAGATTGTCAATATTTATTGGCCTCACAAATGCTTCACATAAATCAAATACAAAGGTTTAACATGGTACAAAGTTATAAAGATAAGCAAAATGTTCATACAGCTACATCCTCATCTTCACATAGATCCAGCTGTGCATCTATGGCCCTCTCAGACAGTTGTGGGAAGTACTTAAAGAATCTTGCCATGAACTGTGAAGCCAGACGCTTCTCACTGGAACCTCCATTCACCCCATTCAAGATAGAGAGATAGGCCTCTTCATGCTGAAAATGAAACATCAAATATCAATATTTTGTTTTTCGATTTCATCAAAATTTTCATAATTTCAACCAAAGTTACCAATTACTTTAATTTACTATGAGTAACCTGTATATTGCAAAATGGTAGTGTGAAGAATTATAAATAGAACCAAAGCATGATCATATATATATGTAATCATAAAATGCATTTCCATTCACCCCTTTTCAATTTGTAAGTGAACATCAAATTCAGGGAGGGACAAGATCATCAAACATGACAGTGACTTGGATTCGGAATCATTTTCAACACAGGTCTAAGGATCAGCATACAAACTACATATTGCTAAACAAAGTTTTATATGGCCCTACTCAGTTGTTCAAAAGGGCATTTTCAATAATATTGATGTTTTAGATAGACTTTTTCTGATCAGAGAGACTAGATAATTTAATTCTCATGATACATGTGACTTAATTGTAAATGAAGATACCATGAATGAAAGCGTGAAAGATGTGCGTTTGACGTATTAGGAACTGCAGAAATCCATCATTACCTCTCCCGCTTTATCTTTTGCATCTGCAAGCACTCCAAAGTCCTTGTAAAGTTGTTCTATCGAGGTCATGTTTTTCAGATTTTGTGCTGATTTTTCACCACGCCGGTCACAAAGCAAAAAGCCGGCTACTTTTGTGTACACACATGAAAGCAATATGGCGGCTCGGGTACAGGGAAAACAAGGATTTTAACTCTCTCCCGTAAGTTGGTTAGGTTAGGGTAGGTGACAGGATGGATCAAGGTGTTGTTTGGAGTTTTGATAAATTACAGTTCCATAATTTGCAAAAAGAAAATAAAATAATAAGTTGGTTATAAAACATTTGCACATTAGCTAGGCATTGAAACAGCAGTAACGTGTAGGCCCATAGTATAGGCTTATAACGTTAACTAGGTTGCATGGAGAAAAATAAAATATTAGATTTTTAAGTACACTGTACCCTGTAGTTACAGTAGATTTGAATGTACTAATTTGCTGTTATATTTTCGTTTTTAACATGAGGAGTACGTGAAGAAGTCTCATGTTTTACAGTGCCGTCAAAAGGATAATTAGGCCTACTTATTCAATCCGACGTTATTCGTAAGGCCCTACGCAGACAGCTTTTTTATTTTTCAAAATTTTAAAAAGTAGGCCCCTACAGATACTAGTAGGCCTATTTGTCTATTATCTACAAAATATTTAGAAAATAAATATGTTTGTCTTTTCATGTGTTTCTGTAACCTCGATGTTACTAAAAAAGGCCTAATTTCCCAGCCCCAAATTTGAAATCTGAATAAGAAATTCTGTCCAGGACATAAATAGCCTAAATTAACGCCCGCAAAAATTATTTGAAGTAACGATTCGTTCTGTTCATTAAAAGGTAAGAAAAACAGCATCATTCATGAGCATAAACACTTTTTTGAAAGAAGTAAGAGCAAAAACAATTTTCCAGGTTAACGTTTATTTTCATTTGTTTCGCCTATTATCATTAGCATTGAGTATATTGAGCGTTCCACACTGAATTTTAGGCCAATGTCCCATCACGAAATCGATAGTAAAGTTAAACACCTAAAAACTTTTTTATCAAGAATTATTCATGAAAATAATTTAGATTTGATTTTTAATATAACCATAGTGGCATACAATGCAACCCACATCGTTGGTGTGGTGGACTGTTAATTGGTCTGATTAATCAGTAAAAAATCGTGGTGCATGAGACGATCATATTCCCTGAATATGACGGAAAATATACAAACTCTTAAGCATCCTACAACATAAATCTACTAACAATGCGAGGTTAGTAGACCTACGTCCTAAAATCAGCGTGGCATTAGATAACCCTTATCATCCGATAATGTGCTACCCGGAGTCGCATCAAATTTTTACGTCGGCCTATATATGAGAGATAATGCATGCATTCAGTTTAACTGTTGATTTATTCAACACCGGCCGGCACGAAATGCTAACGTCGACGTTCATCGAACGATCCAATACTATTCTTCTGGGATCATTTCGTATTTTAAAAATGTGTCACTTTTTGCATTTCTTTGCATTAATAATGGATCCTTTATAATTTCACTTAAATTTCAGCTAGAAATCCGATTAGATTTTGCGTATGAAGCATTTAACGGTAGTTTCTCCTCTCGTTCCACAAATAAATGTAGTGAGTGAAGAAAATGAAAATTCCATTCAAGTCGGCCTTACCTTTTAACAATGTTATTAGGGAAAACTTTCAATAAGATGTTGAATAAACTACAGAGCATGTAATAAGTCGCATTAATTTAGACAGGGTCGTCAAAACGAAGGTTTAACCAAACTGCCAGGAAATTTATGGCACATGAAACAATCATTTTTAAAAAGTTAATTGCAACAATTCTATTCTTGAAGATATTCATTCTTTTCCTTAGCATTTATTACACAAGGAAACAACCATATGATTTTTATATTTTATTTGAAAATGCATATTATATATTTGGTTACTTTTAGCAGAACAAGTTTGTAAAAAACAACCAATATCACAAGTAACACATCCACACCTAACTCCACAATTTAAGTCAGGCGCTTCATAAACACTATGATAATGGTACTTTTCTATACTTCTTCATGCCAAATCAACCAATTGATGAGCAATAAATATAGAGATGTAGAATGCCTTTAGCCTTGTTTGTTACTGCAATGTATTCAGATAAATGTGAATTGTATTTTTTTTTTTTTTTTTGCTGTACACATTCAATATAGGACCTTTTTTTATTCTGACTGCATCTTATCAATAATGTAAAACCTACTGCCTGCAGCACTGTGTCTGAAGAAAGAACATTGAGAGTACATTTTATGTAGCTTTTTCCTCCACTTTCAAAGCACTGTCCAAATAGTTATTTGCCAAACATTTTAATTAGGATATAAAAAACTAGACAATTTTGGGATCCAATTATTCACCCATAATGTAGTCATTATCAGTATATCAGGAAAAGATTTCTACACCATGCATGGCTAGTCATGCTAAACTGACCTTACTAAGACAACCTGCTGATAGTAAAAATAACAGGATATGCACTATGAGCAGTAATTTGTAATTTGAAATTCTGGACCTTAAAAATTTTTTCTTAAAAATAGAAAATTCAAAATGACTATGAAGCTCTGATTAGATTCAACCATTCCTTAAAAATAGGTATTGTAAAAGTCTCTTTTGTATTTGAACAGCTTTTTTTATCTTTCTATAGCTCCTCTTTAGGCAATTTATATGGGCCTTCTAAAAACTCTTCAGGAACATCTTCATCCTTGTCAGATTTTTTATAGAAGCCCAAGTCTATTAAAAGCTGATTGCACTCTTCCCTATTGTATTTGCTGAGGTCAATTCGCTGAAAAAAAAATTCAATGGATGCATTGATTTGTGAACTACAAAAAACTATTTCTAATGAATATCTCATCTCTCATTGTCAACTAGAATAAAAATAGCTTTCTTTTCAGGTCAAATTTTTAACATCAATATAAAAATGCAAATTTATGCTGGTGCTGTGGTACATTAACATGCCTAAGGGTTCACATATTTACGTGGCAAGGAAGAACTACTAAAAATTGTGCTGGCAGACCAACTTCACAGAAAGATTTAGCGTTTCCCATTGAAATAAATTGTTATAATGCCTTTCCCAACTCCACTGTCAATGGTTTCAAATTCAAATCTTTCCCTATACAGTAGTTAAATACCTACAAAAACTGATTTATTACTCAACCCAGCCTATTGTCACCCCTCACCTTGACGACTTCTCCTGCCTTGTTCAACAACAGTAGATCAGGTGGAGCACCTCCAACCTTCTTAAACTCTACATTATGGCTGCATGTTGTTAAGGAAAGCAGGGAAATTTCTTATTTTGAGGAAAAAATACTATCCAACCATTTATAAATTATATAATAAAAAAAGAGCATTTTTAAAAATAACAGCATAGACATACTGTTGTTTAAATTTGTCTGTAAGGATACAACAGAGGAATATCTTCAAAAATGAATTTCTTGACCTCTGGCAGTCTGTTCAATCGTCATCCAGCGCAGCTCTGAAACAAAACAAAAGCTTAGAACCAGCAGAAATAAATAAATTAACACATGACAGCAGGCAATTTTGATATAAACATATGTGCAGAACTAGATTTTTGTAAACAATTCAGACTAGAGGACTGTTACTCTGCATTAAATGGTAAGAGGGTTGTCGGAACGCATGACGACCTTCTGGGGAGGGGGGAGAGAAGAGACATGGTAATGCGAACGTGTAACCTCCTATAAAGGCTTAGTGCACAAACATGTCATACAGAGAAAGCAGTTTTAAATTAGCAAAAGCTACCTCAACACGTGCACTGGCAACTTCTTTGTCCTCTACATCTTCGTCTTTTTCAGTTTCAGCAAAAATTGCGACAACCAAGATAAACAAGAGACAAACTTCCCTCCGCATCTTCCTCTGCCACGTTCAGTCTCGCAAAATCTCGAACCACATGCTCCTTATTCTATTCAGGTCTAACAAATGTTTTGCAAAATTCACCTGCTAGAAGAAAGACTTGGTTTTTGAACAGTGATATTAATTGGAATAATCATCGAATTTGGACATACACCGAAAATAAATAGTTTGTGTTGGTCACGTGACATTCATGCTGCATTTCCAAAATGGCGCTAGTGTGTGCAAGTAAGTTATTTTCCGTTATTTTCTTGTTTTCATCAAATCAAGCTGATAATTGGGCATTTTAGTACGTTTTAAACAAATTGCATACTTTTACTTAGGCCAACAGCACGTTTTTAGTAATTTTGTTCATTAACATGCATTACTTTCCACTACAGAAGTCTTTGTTGTGTGACCGGTTAAAGTCGCATGTGTTTCCATTACTCATTCGATGTAGCATTGTCAATGACAATGTCAGTACTACAGCTACAAATACTGTACGTGTGTCTGCCACTGAAAAAAAATTATCAACTTATCAAATTTGAGAGATAATGTTGACCCTGCTACTTTCATGATATCATTTTTGTGTTAAAAAATTGAACTTGAAATTTGCGTATCTCTTTATTCTCAACAGTCATACAAAATGTGCATCTAGTTGTGTTGTATTGTGTTTTATTGCGCATTTTATTATGATCCCATCTTCTTTACGAACAGTAACAACCCAAACATTGAAAAGCAATAAAGTACTTTTATCATGTCATCATATTTGACTGGTAGTTTCAACAAATATTTTTCCTTGTCCTAAATCCTTTTTCGACCTTTCTGTTTCTGTTACTATGAATGGTCTAATAGAGTGTAATATGAAGATCTCTCTTCTGTTTCTTGTTGTTTTATTTTCTGCTTTCATTGGCTGTGTTTTACGGGCTTATTCCTTTTCGTCTGATGTGTTAGCAGTGCTGATCATCTTGCTCCTTGTTTCTGGGCTTTTTAAAGCACTGTTTATATATAAAGCATTGCATTGGTAAATATATATTTAAATTTAGGACTTTCATTATACTTTCCCAAATGTTACCATTTCTTATATATTTTCAGTTAGTAATGAGGTTCCAGAACACCCAGTTGTGTCTCCAGTCTCTGGATGTATCTATGAGAGGAGGCTGATAGAAAAATACATTCATGAAAATGGTGTGGACCCAATGACTGAACAGAAGCTTACTGTGGACATGCTGATTGACATGAAAAGTGAGTATGCTCTGCCATGACAATTTACAGCACAGATGCACATAAATAAAATGGTGGACAATAAATTGCATTTGGCAAATTATTAAGATGGTTCAGTTTATAAGGTTTGTGTGTGCAAAATTCTAATTTGGGCAGTTGAAGATACAAAATACAAAATTTAATATCTATTTTAGTCATATCATTTTTTTTTCAAATTATTTTCAGCATCTCCTTTGGTCAAACCAAGACCACCTTCAGCAACAAGTATCCCTGCTATCCTTAAAGCACTTCAGGATGAATGGGTATGGCTGTTATCTAATGAGAATGCACAACTAGTTTATCATTTTAATACAAATTTTTCCATTTTGTATGGGTATATTTGGGATAAGTGTCTATTAGAGACAATTGCCTTGGAAATATCTGGCCTTCTTTTTTGAATTATACATTAAGTGTCCTTTTCTCAAGTCAGAATTTTTTTCATTCTCTACAAGTCCAATTTCTGACTGGTTAACACCCTTCAGATTTTCACTAAAATGTATTCTGAATTCATTAAGTGTACACAAACATTATATAGTAATGTACTCACTGTGCTGTCCAAGTTACATTTTACACTTTTTCCAGGATGCTACAATGCTGCACAGTTTTACATTGCGCCAACAACTACAAACAGCCAGACAAGGTAGGTTTGGTGTCAGATCACTGATTGTACCAATCAGTTCTGCATTTGCAAAAAAAAAAGGGGGGGTGGGTTTCCTTGCACAAATTTAAAGCACACGTATTGAGCTACTTTTGAGCATGTACACTGTGTAACACACATAAACATACTTATTCTGGATGTGACCAATGTCATTTTGAACATATAGTTTAATGTGATATGAAATTGGGTATTTAACTTTTTTGCTTGATTTTATTTTAACCCTAGGTACATTTTGATTTTCAGAAAATTCAGTAAAAAATTTTTGAAGTTTGAAATGGTTTGATGGTATTGTTGTAAATTATCTGATTATTTCAGAGTTGTCTCACGCTTTGTATCAGCACGATGCAGCTTGCCGTGTCATAGCAAGGTTAACCAAGGAAGTGACAGCAGCCAGAGAGGGTGAGTTTCAACTGCAATCCTGGTTGTTGAATATATAATAACATCTGTTAAAGCACATGTTGTAATTACTTTCATAGAAGACGTTGTAAAAGTTTTAGTTGTGGTAGTTGAGATTCTGATAACAACATAGATCTGATTGACGGTGTAAATATTCAGACTCTGCTTTGATATAATATTTTTTGTTGCTGTATGGGCGATTAGAAGTATGAAGCACCTGTATTGTGACTAAGTGTTTATCTATTGCTGATGCATATGTCTTAATATTTTCATAGCTTTGGCCACATTGAAGCCCCAAGCTGGCATTGCTGCCCCAGGTTATTTGCCTCATCCTGTAAGTATGCAGTTTAGTACTATTAGTGCTGCAGTGATAATATACTATCTGCTAATATTTATTGCTTCAGGTGTTTTCAAGGGTTGCTGTTGTGAATACTATGTCAGAATGTCTTGTTACACTGGCCACATTTATGCATCAATTCCTGAGACACATGTATATCAGGTTAACTTGTTTGCGCTAATGTTTATTTCAAGCTTTTTAGTCCAAATTGAAGTGGGAAATGAAACTTAAAAGGTAACCTAACTGGTGTGCCTCATTCTTGTAGCTTGCATTACAGTCTCTAGTGTTTAAGCATAGTCTTAGATACAAGTAACTGGCACAACCCTGACTACAAGTTGCTGACACAGTCCTTGCTGTTAGAAGGGCACATTTGTTTATGTTTACAAAAAATGTTTCCTGACATTTCAAAGCTTTTAAAATTTTTTTTCTCAATCCCAGACATATGGAGCAGAGGCTGGTCCAGAAAGGGCTGAGGCACCCATGGAGGAGGCAGGCATGACCGAAGAAGTCTTACAGAAGGTAGGCATCTCACCCCATGTAACCTGTCTAATAATAAAGTTTCAGCATTGCTTTTGACATTTTGTTTGTAAACAAAATATCAGCACTAATATTAATGCATACAAACTGGAGTTAAAAGATGGGTTATGAATGTTTTAACTGATGCCAAATACCAATAGTTTGTAGTTTTTGTGAGATTTTTACAGCCCAAAATTGTAGACCTTGAAATATGCTCAAAAGTAATTATTTTAAAATGTTGTATTGTTTCAGCTGCAAGACAAAGCAACACTGTTGACTGCAGAGCGTAAGAAGGTAAGTTGTAGAGTCGGCAAAAAAGAAAAATAATGTTGAAGTATTCTTGTTGGTAACATTTCTAATAACCAGCTGTAACCCATAAAACAATGGTTAATTAAAACAATAGATCTGAAAAGCAGGATCTGGGAGGATATATGCTTTAATCTTCAGTAATTTTCCTCATTTAAAACATGTTGTTACTGACAATTCCAGCGAGGAAAGACCGTTCCAGAGGGCTTGGCAACCGTCGATGATATCAGGAACTACAGGCAGCAGGCTTCCCATGTGGTAAGTGGTTGGTACAATAAAGAAAATGCTTAGCACAAAGGAGTCAATATTCAAAGTATATAGATTTGATTTGGCAGTTGATAATTGTTACAGCTCCTCGCCATTTTAAGTTTTAAAGAAACCTAAAACATGGCCCCCCAATACTTAGGATATTTATGTAACCTGTGATCACCATTTCAATTTTTGTAGGGTCTGCATAGTGCCAGTATTCCAGGCATCCTGGCAATGGATATCTGTCTGAGGGATACATCTAGAGTAGTGACAGGTAAGACATTAAAAGAATAGTTGCTTACTGACTAGTTATGAACTAATTAGGAAAATGGGGTACAGAAACTTGTATTTGGATAAGGAACATGTATTTTGTTTAAAGTATATATCTATTTACATGCGATGTGTTGACATGTTTGTGTATGTCTGTCTCTAGGTGGTAATGACAAGAATGCTGTAGTTTTCAACAAGGACACTGAGCAGGTGATGGCTATATTGAAGGGGCATACCAAGAAGGTGACCAGTGTCATCTACCATCCCACAGAGGTATGCCCAGTATATTGTTAAATTTTTCATATTTTACTCTGTAAAGTTAATGTTCGCCAGAAGGCCCAAAGAGGCTTCAGACCGAAGCAATTGGACACATTTTTGATAGCAGAGCTTATGTTTCACTATTAACTCTGAGTAAATCTTTGGTCATAAAAATGGCAAAGTACAATATCTATAATAGAACATTCAGTAATGCAACAGTCCTATTAGACTGCATTTGGAATTGAAAGTTATATCTGGCATATGTTTTTAACTTGGCCATGTTTTTGTCTATTCAGGAGCTGGTATTCAGTGCCTCTCCTGACCATAGTATTCGTGTGTGGGGAATCCAGACTGCACAGTGTGCACAGCTTGTGCGTGCTCATGAGGGCCCAGTGTCCGGTATCAGCTTGCATGCTACAGGAGACTACCTGCTTAGCTGTTCCACTGACACTGTGAGTTGACAGTTGTACTGTAAATTCTATAGTATACCTTTGAGTTTAAAATCCAGCAAAAATTGAATAACTTTGATTATTTGAAAATCATAGAGTTTGATTTAACTTTGTTTTAGTTGCACATCATTTTCAAAATTAACATATTAAATAGCTTGTACATAATAATATTATACAAGTTAAGAAGTGTTATTGATCTGTTTCAGAACTGGGCGTTTTCAGATGTTCGTACTGGAAGAGTGTTGACTAAAGTATCGGATGGTGCTGGAGGAGGTACTTACTTAAAACCTTTTTTTCAGAAGTTTTCAAGCAGTAATATAGCACAAATATAAATGAAGATAAATTACAAATTACTGTTAATGAATTACAACAAGGAGAAAATATCTCAACCTAAAACATCTCTCCAAAGAGAATGGAAATTCATATTTATCAATTTAATTATTTGCTTACATGAGGCATTTGGGTATTTGCATTCACTTAATTATGAATACAAACTTTCCCTGCTTCAGCTTTGACCTGTGCCCAGTTCCACCCTGATGGTCTCATCTTTGGCACCGGAACAGAGGACTCCATGATTAAAATTTGGGACTTGAAAGAGAGGGCCAATGTGGCCAATTTCCCAGGGCATTCTGGGCCCATCACAAGTATTTCTTTCTCAGAAAACGGTGAGAACAAAGAAAATTGCATTTTACATGGTTTTGTTTTCAAAAACAGAGGGGAAAATTGTGGAATATGTTTGACCAAATTGTTTTGTTTGATAATGGAATGACATTTGTCAAAATGTTAGTAATATTATAGGATTTCAACATGCTATATTTACCAGTTCACCAGGACTAGCTTTAAACTGCTGAAAGTGCTGCCAGCTGCTTAAGTATGATCAATTTCTTGCTCTTGTGTTTTGACACAAATGTCAAAGAGAATATTTGTTTATTTCAGGTTACTACTTGGCTACTTCAGCAGATGATTCTGTTGTGAAACTTTGGGATTTGCGTAAACTGAAGAATTTCAAGACCTTAACTTTGGATGACAACTACGAGGTAATGAATTGGTTGGTCTGCTGTTGAAACATTTCTGTCATGTGTACACCGTTTAAGAAATTATAAACATGTAATTTGTTACATTTTAAATTTTTAAACTTGAGTACTTTAAAAGGAACTTCCCCTAGGAGGTCCATTTAAAAGTAGAAAAGCACTCAGAGAGCGCAGACCCCTTCCAAGGCAGCAAAGTCTCCATCCAATGCCGTTTCACCCCTAAATTTTCGATATTTTTGATTATTGATTGATTATTGATCCGGATCACCACCAAAAACTAATCATCTGTTCCTTGGCGCACTTCTGACAGTTCCTGAAAATTTCATCAAAATTGGTCCATAACTTTTTGAGTTATGTTGATGACAGAAAGACAGACAAACAGGGGTGAAAACATAACCTCCTTGGCAGAGGTAATTAATTTATGGTAAAAGTAGAAAGTTATATTTTGATTTATTTATTTAACCATTATATTTTCTGATAACTTCAGGTGAAGAGTTTGTGCTTTGATCAGAGTGGAACCTACCTGACTGTTGCTGGAACAGATGTCAGGTAAAAATATGTTTCGTGGTATTGCAATTTGCTCTAAATTATAGTTTGTTTTATCTCATTATTATTGCTAAATTGATTTCAGAAAAAGAACCCATTTAGTGACACAAGAAGTTGCTTTTTAAATACACAACATGATACACTAGTTTACTTTAAAATTCTAATAAGCTTTTGCTTTAGTATTATTTGATTGCAATTAACATCAGGGCGGCTTTCTTTCAGGGTTTACCTGTGCAAGCAGTGGCAGGAGCTGAAAGTGTTCAATGACCACACAGCTCTGGCCACCAGTGTCCGCTTTGGACACAATGCTTCATTTGTGGTGTCTGCCAGCATGGATAGGTCACTCAAGTTCTTCAGCATGTAACCTCCACCATGTCTGTACAGGCAAATATGGCGTCCTCAGGTTTAAAGGCAGGAGAAAACTTGAGACATTATAAATATATGACGATGTTGAAAATTGTTTTAACTGTGACTCTTTCACTTTGTTTCAAAATTTAGTTATGCTATATTATTAAAAAAATTCATTGAAAGGAACATCATGTATATATAACTACATCATGAATCGTGTTTAAAAGAAAAATGTTTGTTGATATATCCTGACTAAAGATAGCAATCTCAGAAGGCCTACAAGAAAAGAGTACATTTGTTGAAATTATGAACTGTCATTGTAACTAAATCCATTGTAGCCCAGAAATATAAGATAATTTTTACTTTTTCTGTTGTCCTTAATGAGTAGTTTTTTTCCTTTTTTTAAAGAAAGTAAATACTATGTTCTATATTATGAAAAAAAGTTTTCAGACATTTAGTAAGCACAGTGCTTCACGGAATATATTATGAAATCTTAACTGTACTACTACCTTTAAAGTACATCAGCCTAATATTTGACATAATAAATTGATTGCCAGTTGGGTAGGCGTACATCAGGTTTGGAATTTTCCGGACAGAAAGACAGATAAAGGCTGAAGAAGTCACTTTGTTTTACAGTTGATAGAAATAAATATTTTTCATTTTATTATATTCAAGTATTTTGACTTGTTATTAATTCACTGTACCACTCTGTAAGCACTTGGGTGACAGTTGACTTAATAGACTTCATTTTAAAATGGAAATGTTTAGTTTAAAATCTCAAATATCCAGCAGAAACAAGCAAGTGCAGATAAGTTTGAAGCCTATTCTCAGACTTCAATATTTTTGGGTCAACTTGCTTTGTATTTGCGTGGCAAACCTAAAGTGGTTATTTTAAATTCTATCATCTAAATGCTAAATCTCCATGCACCTTGCCAGAAACTTTTCTGTAGAAAAGGTGATGTGTTTCATCAACTAAAACAGAAATCAATTAAGTCTTGGGAGGTTTTTGTTTTTGTTTAAAATTCATGGACTCTTCTAAGATGTTCTGCGCTTAAAGAAATTTAGCAATTAATACACAGCTAGTAAGGCTATACAGTTGAAAAGTGGCCATTACATAAAGTCATCAGAAGTCACAATCAATTATGTAACACAGAATTACACACATTCATTCTCAACAAAAATATGTTTCTACCCATCAGCCACTAATATAGCATCCTGGCCATTATCATTGTCCTGATATTTCTATGGTTTCATAATTTCATTTATGAAGTTGTGAGTTGCCTTGTGAAGTGGAGGTGGAATCAAAATTGTAAATCACGTTAAATGCAAAATGCTGCTTCTACAAATTCAGCAGGATTGTTAGGAGATTCAATCTGAAAAAGATGATAAAATGTGCATAGAAACTAAAAGGCAAATGCAGACAGCAGAGATTATATTTATTTATAATCAAAAAAGTTTCCAATAGTCATTATAAGTAATGTAAACTGCTTGCTAGATTTATCATGTGTATAAGAGCGAGTCCTCACAATAAGCAACATCATTTGCAAACCCTTACAAACATTAAAATTTTCACAAAATCATGAGCTTAGCTTGGACTACTGAAATTGAAAATCAACTCTACAAGAGCATTTGATCCTTAATAAATAGTTGAAATACATATTTTTGTCACCACTGAGAGTAAGGCTCTATTCCCATAGATTTTAGATCGATCTATCCCCGCGGGGAGTCTCACTAGATTACTTTCAGATAATCTGACTTAAATGTCCGTCCCACCTACTACAAGCTGTAAGGGGGTAATTAACTTTCGTGTCCGCCCCGCTGACAGGGAGTTAGGTCGATCTAAAGTAGGTCGATCTAATCTATGGAAATGGGGTGCAAAACTCCATGTCGAAACAATTGTAATTTACTCTAAGATTCCTTACTTAAATTTCAGTACAATTGTGAAACAGGCCCCACACATAATCCCAAGTTTTACAGATCCAAATCTCTATCCTCATTTTATCTTAATGTTTTAAAAGTATGACATAACGGAAATGCCTACAATTGTGTACACATATTTCAGCACTTTAATAGGTGTTTGGGTGCCAAAGGAAACAGTTAACAACTTATGTGTTTACAATGAAGAAAATATTCAACTAACATAATAAAATAAAACAGAAAAAAAATCAAAATTTTCATTTGTTATGAGCTAGCAGCATTGAGTGCATTATTTCTGTTGCTGCCTTGATAAATATTCGAACTTTGGCATCATTGGTATGCAGGACTTCACACAGAAGAATTGGAAAGAAGAACATTTCTCAGACAAGAAAAAAAAAAACTTGCTAGGTTTGTGCACTGTCACATTCGTCAACTTACAGTAGAAAGTACATTGCAACAAATAAATAATGTGTATTATTGTTTACATGATTGTTCAGCAACTAACTTTCTTCAAATGAAATACAAGAGATGTGATTTTTTATGTTTTTATAAGAACCAAAATAAAGTATACATATAAATATACATAATTATAATACATATATTCTGCCACTTAAGTTCATTGTCAAATTATTCTGATGGCTACTTAATTGGAACTCCCTTTAGTGACTTGCACTTCACAGGCCCTAGTTCTGTCATTAGTAAACTGCTTTGCCACTCCCCTATACACTCCTGATTGACCCTCATGTCCGCCTGGAAAACCACAAAATTGTAAAGTTTTTAAAGTTAAAACTATAGTAAAGCCTTTTCAGAAAGAGAGAGAGAGAGAGGGAGGGAGGGAGGGAGAAAGAAAGGCATCATACAGAAATCGATCATACTTTCATGTTTAGCATCAATCATTTATATATGAGGAAAAGTACACCTTGAGGAGAAAGTGCATATTTATCAATTTTATAGCAAAAAAAATTGAATGTCAATTAAAGACAAAGAAAGAGGGTGGATTACAAGAAATACAGTAATTTCAATAACCTGTAGCTTCTCCCAGATTTTCTTCTTGGGTTTAAGTTCCTCATCTGGTTTACCAGATTTGTGCTCCTCAAAGAACACCCTGTTTCCTGGCACATCATTGCTTGAAGGATCTAAAGGCTCAACTACCTTGCTGTCTCCACTGCAAGAAAATACATTTATATATACACTATCAACATGACAATTCTCAAAAAGATGACACAGTTTCATGTATTGTAGGAGCAAATAAAAAACACAAAGATGAGTAGAATATAGACAAATGATAACCTGCTCACATTGTAAGGACATCACAAGCATAAGGCCGAAGCATTATTACAAAGTTCAGGATGTTGGAGAAATCGGAAACTTTTTCATCATATGCTTCATTACTTTTGACCTTAACAGTAATGCCTGGCTAGTTTAAACCATAAAATTGACCAATGTTACATTCCTAGATAAGAAAAAACTACCAGTGAAAAGTCCATGTTTAACAGATGTTTGCAGATACCTTGACATAGAGCTTTATCTGGATGTTTTTTTTTTCTCTTTTTCTTTTTTAAATTCTAGAGCACTACCCAATCAGCACTTACACTGTTTTTGATGCACACATCAGCATGGCCTGAGACTCCACTCCTCTCATCTTCACTGGCTTGAGGTTACACAAGAACACCCCTAGCCTGCCTTGCAGCTCTTCCATCGGTACTAAACCAGCCAGCCCACTCACTACAGTCCTGGGCTTGTCTTCACCCACATCAACAGTCTGCACATACAGGGACTCTGCATCAGGGTGCTGAAAATAGAAAGAGGGCGTGCTATTAATACAAGTCCTTAGTATTTTTTATTAAAAATTAATAAAAGACGTGTAACCACTCTCCTTACTGATATTAATTGATGTCATACAGAAAAGAGCAGATATTTCAACTGACCATCATCTGTGAGTGTATTTAAGGATGACTGACTAAAAAGGTCCATTTACATCAACAATCACTTTATATAAGAATACCAGTGTGTGACATGTTTCAGACAGTTGGAAAAGTAATGGTCTGCTGAGAATTTTTTTTTTTTCATTTTTCAATAAAACCATTTTCCAGAGAACTAATTTGGAACATTGTAAGTGAAGCATTACTATAATTTTATTTTGCCAAATTAATTATTTCAACAATTTGTTTCAATATTTTAAAAAGCATATTGAGTATGGAAGCACATAGTAGAAAATTAATTCTAACAGACAAACTCTAAACCAATCCCAACAAAAAAGAAACAAAAAAGGATAATACTTGAAACCTGACTAAACTTCTGTAAAAGATCAAAACTTTTTTCAACTAAGAGCTCTAGTTTGACTCAACTGACAATCTGCCCTTAATAAGTCAACATTTTTTTATTCAGAATACAAGCACAGCTTTTTCACTTAACATCTGTTTTTGCATCCCAAAAGTAACAAATCACTTGACCTGAAATAAGTTGCAAATTTCAGGCTAATCTGCCTCTGCAATCATCAGACAGCAACTGCCAAACCCATTTTAGTATTTAGGTTTCAAGTGGTTAGGATGGCTGCTGTCACTTCAGGTACTGCTTGGGTTGACTTAAGGAGCTAAACATCCTTCGTGGGGGTTACTACACTAATTGGAGCATTAATTAGACCAGCAAAGGAATTCACACAAGTTGCATATTCTGCGTAGTTGTAAAAGGAAACCAGTTGTCCTCAAGAGGCACTTGTCTGACATGCATGCATCCACACGACTTGTGCGTGGGTATGCATGTCTGTATGCATGTGTGTGCACTGCTGGTCTGTACTTTCCCATTAAGTGATGTTTACAGAGGAAGGGGATGTGAGAGCCAAAATATCACCACAGATGGATGACAGGGAAAGGTGTTTTATTGCTCACGGGCATAAGATCTTGTCAACAGCAGATGCAAGAAATAAGGGTTTTTTATGATAGAACCTAGTGCTGAAAATTAATTATCACTGGCGCCTTTACCGATCCATTTGCTATGGTGATAATTCATCCACAGCACATTAAAAAAAGCTATTCCTCATAAATTCTGAAAAAATATACTCATAACATTTCCCAATATCAGAAAAACTACTTCTGATAATGTAAAAAAAAAACAAAAAAACTTTGAATGAGGATGGGGAAAATAAGTGTTTTGTTCAATAATACTTATAATAATAATGAACCACATTTTTGCATGTTCATTAAAATGTAAATGTATTATAATTTGTTATAGTCATCCAGATCTCTTTTCAAGTGATCTCACTGTAAAGATAAGATCAAATGGCATTATTTTCTTCATTTCAAAGGGAAAAAAATTAGCAAGTTGGATCATTAGGCGTAGCCTGAAAGCATATATATTGGTTTAATTAATTATGAAACTCTTCTTAAGAAATGTCAATAGTGAGTTAAATTATTTACTAAACTGACAAATTTTCAATTACCAATGTCTTTGTTTCTTTGCAGCTTATATGGCCCCATCTTTTCATACTACTTTGATTTTGTTCAGCTTCTAAGACAATTATCAAGACTTGTAACGAAAATTTGATCTCAATTTTTTTTCAAAAGAACTTCATGTTTTTCTTTAAAACACAGGCCAAATATTCAAACCTTATAGATTAAGTCTGATGAATGAAAAGAAAAAAGTGTAAAATTGTATTCACGCTAAGATGCAACATATATTAACTCTGAAACTTCAGTAAAATTATTTCATATCAAAACTAATTACTATTTTCAATACCTATTTAATCAAGAAAAAATGCCACAAAAATGCCCCCCAGTGCACAGGAAAAACCTTTCCAATTAAACAGTGCACTTTCACTGCTGGTACGAATCTGTCCAACAAAGAGGGAGTTAATGCAATTAAAGATGAAAAAAATCTTGCACAAGTATTTAACTCTAAATTCAACTCCAGTTATGTTTAGCTATAAAATTAGCTATAAAATCTAAGATTAGCAAAACAAACAAAAAAAAGACACATGAATGGCCATCGTCCATGCCTTTCACATCACCAATACCCTCAGGAAAGGACAGAAGTTCACACTGAAAGAAACTATACTACCTGTACCAACAGTGTTCAGTTTGGCAGCAAGTGTCACAAACAAGTCCAGGCCTAACATACACCACTATTGGGTATCAAACTGCCATTCACTGACAATTCAACAATTCACTTTAAGATGGGTAAATATAGGCAGTGGCAGAGTTCGACAGTTTCAAGCCATCGAGTTTATTTTTCTATATAAAATAGAATCATATTTCTTGAAATAAGTGATCATTCAAATTCAGTGAGAATTAACCATACCCTATATTTTAGCCATTGCACAATGTGACATCTATTTGTTTTTGGTAAATATGCACTGAAATTCAAATCTCAAGGCATTAGGTTCACAAAAGAATTTCTACTTGTGACTTGAATAAGAACAACCAAAGTTGTCCCCAGCAGCTGTTGTTGTTGAATATGCTGCCAAATGACACAGCTTGTAATCATAGACAACTCATACAAAGTCCCAGGCAGACATGGAACTGGTAGATCAGACTCTGCCTTGGGGCTCAACACAGTTCTAAACATGTTTAGACCCTTGCTGACTCCAAATGCTACAGTTGATACGGTCTGATTTAATGTCGAACATGGGTTTCCTGGGGTTAAACCTAATTGCTCAATTTACCAAATGACTTTTCCTAATAATGCTACACCCAAGGCTGATAAAAAACAAACTAATAAGAAAATTTCCATCAAATGTATTGGTCTAGGATTGTTTTTTGTATGAAATAAATGATTGGTGGCATAAAAAACTTTAATATGTGGCTGTGATAGCAGTCTCTGCCTTACAACAAACTAAAAATACAGCAGGAGACTTGTTAAATGGACGGCATGGAGAGTAAATTGTGAACAGGAATGTGCTGACATAGCATCTTTACTATAACTGCTATAATTGTTATATGAAAACTGTTGGAAATTCTCTGTGATCTCCTATGCCATACGGTTTCTGTTAGCAGAGTCATTGAGGAGATGCCGAGGTTTGACAACTGTCTTATTAATTTCTGAGGGTGTTGAATGGTTCAGTTACCAAACAGAGGCATTTGCTTCCTCTCACATGATAAGGACATCTCATTTGTCATTAAATTCACCTAAGCCCATTTCACTTTTTTTTTTTTTTTGCATGCCAAATTCACCACTGGCAACTAAGTTAATTTTCTGGGCCCTTGTAAACTGCAAATTTCACCATCATTGCAAAAAAATACTTTTCTTTTTGGTATAAGTAAAACTATTTCGTATATCATATGAGGAGACAGTTTGTATTCTGCCAGAAAAGATATGTTTTATTTGAAGAGGCTGGCAGGTCTGATTTTAATGGTGTGGAATAACAAGATTGCTCTCCCAGTACAAGATGTCATGGCCTCTAGTCAAAGTGCTCTCATACATCGAATAAAGTTACCTTGATCCTACAACAGAGTATTTGAGTGCAAATGTGTATCTATTTCAAAATACTTGAACAGAATTCTACTACTTGAATTCACGATTAAATGCAGCAGATTAGTGTGTGTGTGTGTGTGTGTGTGTGTGTGTGTGTGTGTGTTGTGTTTAAGCTTAAAAAGTTGCATAAAAATATTTTTCATTTTCTGTAGCACAAGCTATACATTTTAGCAAGATCTTCATAGACCAATGTGAAATACCACCTGAAATACCAATATCAAGATAAAGAGTATTTTAACAACAATATTTGGTGACCATTGTAAAAAAAAAAATCCAATCCCAAGAATCTCATTGACTTCAACAGACATACACATGTATAAATCATATAGCATTGCTTCAGTTCAATTATATGTAATCATACTATAGAAGGCAACTGTGGATTACAAGTTTTTAATCTTTTGCACAGCTACTGCAGAACATTAGCACTCACAACCATATATTTGAAATTAATATGCTGGCCACAAATAAAGACCTTCAAAGTAAATTGTTCAAATAGTGTGTATATTCTGTATATTCTATGGCCTTTCCTGGTGGTAAAACAAAGCTTTTAATAGCTGTTCTCCACTGTCCTTGCTGAGAGGCCTTGGTAATTAAGTAAAAGAACATGCTCTGCCACCACTTTAACTGATACTGAAATGTGACTCTAACCAGCTAGGAGGCAAACAGTTTAAAAAAAAACTCAACATGAATTAATTTAAGCATTTGATAATTCATATTGTCATCTATACCATTAAGAAAATTTAAGTAAATGTTTGTCTTTCAACTACCTATAGCTTAAAAGTATACACCATTACACAAACAACATAGGTTATATTCAATCCAATAACGTAGGCTAGAATCTGGAAACCTATAATATTATGCAAATCCCAACTGCCAATCAAAATGCAGAGGATGTATAAAAAGATTCTAAAGAGAATGACTGAACATTCTCCATGTTTAAGTCCTGTACAAGACATTAAGAAGAAAAATAGTTTCAATTTAAATTCTTAATTGCTCTTAGAAAACATTTTCAAAGAGAGAAGCAGTTCCAAAGATTTCAGAATATTTACATGGATTTTAGACCTGTCTGAAAGACCTTCATGAAAACTGGTGTGCCTTGTTGGGAAAGCTGGACAAAATTCAAAAGCTTCCACTGGAGAGAGGTATAGTGCCACTATTTGTAATTTAAATTCAAACAATGTTTTTCTCCCTTGTTTTTGTTTAGCTGTTCAGTTTGGTTTTAAATTTCTTCATTTGTCATTCCTTTCCACATGTGACATTCTCTGCTTTCATAACATTGTTATACCTGCATCAAACTGTTCAATCATGAAACGTCCTATTTTTCTTTTTACTTGAAGTGACCTTTTCAAAAAGTAAAAAGAAAACATTCAAAGATAAAAACATGGGTTACTTAATCTTATCAACCTGTANATTCAAAACTTTTCAAAAAGTAAAAAGAAAACATTCAAAGATAAAACCATGGGTTACTTAATCTTATCAACCTGTAGTACTTTTAAAAATTTGAAGTCTCAAATAGAAATCTTTTTCGACACAAATTAATATCCAGTTAAGATGAAATGATAAAAGGAAAAAATTCAAGACTGCCAAATATAAATATATAAAAAAAAATTTGGTTACACCAAAGTGGATAAAATTCAGTATAAGTAAAAATTCCTTGATCACCAGTGCAGAGACAGATGAAAGAAGCAGTTCAGTGAGATGGCTGAATGGGTCACCATGCTAAGCCACTTTCAAAGAGATTGAGCTGAAGATAAACAGGAAAAAACTGATTGCCAGAGCCCATATTTATAAAGCCTGAAAGGCATAGAGAATTTAATGCTCTATTCAGGCAGAGGAACTTTTATAGACATAGATATCAATGTCAAATGTAAGACGCCAGCTTACTCCATTCAATTCAATTTATTTCAAAAGTTTCTGCTCTCATCTTATACTTGATTCAACTATTAATGGGGTCAGCCCGGAAGAGGTTAATTCTTAAAGGATAATGTTTTTTTTTTCATTTCCTTATTCATTTTATTTCATTTTTTATTTTTGTGAATACTAAAGCCATTCAGACTGGCTGATGAAGGACATTATATAAGTCAAGCCGCTACCCCCTAAATATCTCAACAGCAAGACTGTATATGTGAGCACTTGTACTGTTTTTTAATGAACCAGCATTACAAAAGAGCACAGATCAATGTTCAAATCAATACAATTTTTCTAACACAAAGTTTTTAAAGTTGTTGCTTGCAAACCAATGCTTTAACCAATTAGTATTATACCAAATGCCACAATTTGACAAAGAAAAAGTTAATAATGACGAGAGCTATTCTAAATTATTTTCTCAAAAAAAAAAAAAAACTTGAATTCAGTACCAAAACTGGCTTACATAATTCAAAATAACCAGAGGTGTTATGGCCCCAGGCTGATGATTCTACTGCCAAGCCAGGGGCTCTTGAGATCTACAGGCTCAGATGGCTACTGAAAAAGTGTTTCTAATATTATGCTGACACTAAAAAGCAAGGGATCTTTTAGTTTGTTTCTCTGATTAGATAGACCTTCACAAGAAAAGCCAAGATTTGGCACAAACAAAATTACAGATACTTTCAATGTAAATTGCAATGTGAGAGGAAAAAACTATTTCCCATGTCCTTTGATATTTTGGCTAAACACCAGACATTGGTATTGCCATCTTTACATAATAAACCATCAAGGACGACAATTTCAGATGTGCTGGCAAAAGTCAAACATTAAATGTCAAACAGGTTATATGGAATTCACATTCAATTTGTCAAGCTGTAAAAAAAACTTTGCAAAAACTTCAACAAACCATTTCCTTGCACTTTTTTGGCCTTTTTCCAGCTGCTTAAGTGCCTGATTGAACCAGTAGCAGGATGTTCTCACTAGTGAGGAAACTAGCACAGATCACACTCCTGGTGCAACTACTGCAATGTGCACTGTTCACAATTGCCTTGGGACAACAAGGCATTCCCTACCCTAACACTATCCCACGAGGAGGCAATGAGGGGACATGTAACTGCCTCCAGGGTCCTTCTGGCCCACAGGGACAACCAGGCATACATGGACCACCCGGGATTCCAGGGAATCCAGGCATTCCAGGAAACCATGGAATGACAGGACAAAAAGGAGAAGCTGGGGACTGTGAGAAAATAGCTGGTCTCCCAGGAGAGAAGGGTGATAGAGGAGACCCAGGACCAAGGGGGTTTGAAGGACCCAGGGGACCAGAGGGGTTCCTTGGTAAGAAAGGCAACATGGGAGAGAAAGGAGAGCGTGGAGGATGGGGTAGACAAGGACAAAAAGGAGAGCAGGGACCAATAGGTAGATATTCCTAAAAAAAGAGGGCATTTTGTAATGAATGAATAAGATTTTAGAAAATGTATTGGTCATCACTTTCTGCAGTCTTCTACAGTGAGAGTCTTAGTATATGACATATAATATGAAATATGCAAGACCAAAATACTGTTCTTAAAACATGTAACTCATCTTACAGAGAACTTCCTGTCTGACAATGAAGATCATTATTTGATATCATGTATCCTACAATAACTTTGTTTGTTTCATTGTGATTCATTCTAGGACTTCCAGGAATAAAGGGAGAGCCTGGAAACTCCAGGCCAATACAAAATGCACTACAGGTAGCCTTCTGTGCCAAGCTGGTCAACTCCATCCCTGGCCCGGGGAGTGGTCAGCCCTCTAACCCCGTCATTGTCCCCTTTGACCAAGTCTTGACCAACCTTGGGAAGGGTTATAACTCTCGCACAGGGATCTTCAGTGCACCAGTTAGTGGGACATATTTCTTTACCTTCTCTGGGTTAACCTACACAGGACAGACAATGTTTTTGTCTTTAATGAAGAACAAGGAGACAATGCTGACTGCATTTGGCACTGGATCGTGTGGGACATGCCAGCATGGAATGGGGACAAACTCTGGGATACTGCACTTGGTGAAGGGGGAAAAAGTCTGGATTGAACTGAATGGAGGACTGAGGAATGACATCAATGAGCATTACACATCATTCTCTGGATATCTACTGTACCAAGATTTAGAGGGCACTGGCTACGACTACTTAGTCATTAATAATTAAGTGTGGCCGAAATAAGAAAATAAGCATAGAAGAACACTTCATTACAACTATTACATAATATGTACTACGTTACTGTTGAAATATTTCAACAACAGTATCAATTTTATATAAAATATTCAATTTGACAATATGGTGTTTTATAGTTGCTTCATAATTTGCTCAATCTGTTATTACATCCACTGTATTCATGCCTTTAAAACAAATAAATCTGAAACTGTTGTTTTTATATAGCACACACTGGCTGTTCTTATATATGAATGCAAGCTCTTCAGACAAATAAGCCATAGCAAGAGCACTGTACTCTTTATTTCATATAACATTAATACATTTGTCTCATTTCTTTTTTCCCAAACATACCAGCAATTTAAACCCCATAGGATAAAAAAAAATAATTTATTATCTTAATCCAAAAAAACTGTTACCTTATCTACGGATAAGATCTTCCCTACTCTCATGTCCAGTCTGGAAGGAACTACCTCATCATCCCCTGAGGGTCCATTAGCTGCTGCTGCCCCCTTTTTGCCAGGTGCTGGGATGAACAATAAATCCATGTTAAATTTTTTTATCTAACAGAGACAGAAATCTGGGAAAAGAAGGGAGTATGATGGGAAAAAGAAGATAAAATATTTTGTCAAACACTGTTCCAAATAGTATGTTTTATAAAGACTGGTTTCAATCAAAGTGGGATAATAAGTGTCCAAATTGTTGTGAAATATTACTAGAAAAATGAATGCACTATGTTAAAATCTTACTGTTTTTCCCTGTTGGGTAAGCTTTGCTGACAAGTGCTTTCATTTCTGGACTTTCAAATTCCTTCCTGATTGGATCCATTAATTTGTTTAAGTACTTTTCTACAGCAAGTTTGAGATCACCAGGATGAAGTTCCTAAAAGAAAATTTTTATCTAATTTCTAAAAAACAATTGATTTGTGAACAGTTACCACTTCTGCAACTACAACCATCATGCATTACTCAAAATATGCATGCATTCCCTCTCTGATATTATATGGCAGTGATAGGCATTGGCAAGTTTGGGATGACTTATGATGTGAAGTTTCAATTATTGAAAACTTATTAAGGCTCCAGTTGACAATGGAATTCAGACAGGACTAGGAAAATTGAAACAATGATCTGGAAATGCATTCATTAGTGTTTTGAATGAATAAATTAAGGTGAAGTTGACGTGATAATTTAATATAATGTAAATGTGACAAAACATGATAAAAACATTTTCAAAGATTATTTTGCACTAATCATAGTCCCCTTACACCTTTAAACATTTACTTTCATACTCTATCTGACACTCTATCTATATGAGTTAAGCTGACATCTTACCTCACTGGCAAATGCAGCTTCAATATCTTCATAATTTGTGAAGGTAACATTTCCACCAAACTCTGGCTTTCTTTCTATTGTGAATTCTAAATGAATAAAACAGTCATTAAAGTATAGCTATTTCTACTGTGAGTGTACCAGCTACTGAAGCTGAAGCCAATTTATCCATTTTCAAAGCTTAATTCTTTTACAACTTATTACAAATAGAACAACAAATTCAACTCTCTATGATGCCCTTTCTTACAAAAAAAAAAAAAAAAAAAAAAAAAGCCTACCATTTGAGTGTGACAGTGGTAAAAGCACATGCTTGACAAAGGCCAACACTCCATTGTCTGTGACATTTCTTGGTTCACAAAAAGCCTTCTTCAGTTTCTTCTTCACCTGAGCTGCACTGTCCAGCAGGTCAATCTTAGAATCCTCCTCAGAGGAACTCATTTTACCTCCTGTTAATCCTGGCACTATATTTAGAGAAAACAATGCTAAAATGGATATTTGACTAAAACACCCTATCACAGGCAACCCATTTGATCATTTTGTAACTTACAATTTACCTTTTTTTTTTTTTTTTGAGGGGGGGGGGACAAAATAAACAGTTGTTATCTCTTTAACTTGACGGTGTCATTGTGCAATAACAGTACAATTTACAACATCTGCACAGTGCATGTGTCCTG